GTACATCTTACTAAGGTTGCTTCCACCGCCGGTTCACCTCGGCTGCTTCTTGTTGCCACCGTCCCGGCAGCTACTATCACCACTGCCACTACAGTTGCTATTGCCTCTGTCACTGCTGCCACACCACCGGCGATGACGCGGGCGACGAAGATAAAACGACGATGAGTGCCGCTGCCGCTGCTGCTGCTGCTGCTGCTGCTCCTACCACTCCTCCTCCTCCTCCTCCTCTCCCTGCTGCTGCTTCTGCTCTCATGCACCGCTACTACGACGACGTCTACTAGCACTACTACTACTACTACTACTACTACTACTACTACTACTACTACTACTACTACTACTACTACTACTACTACTACTACTATTACTACTACTACTACTACTACTACTGCTACTACAACAACTGCTACTACAACTACAGCAGCAGAGCTGCGGCTGCTATTTCTGATACTGCTGCTGCTGCTCCTGCAAGTGCTACGCTGGCGATGACGACTAGCAGCAGAAGCTTGTAGCAGCAACAGCCGGACCAGTTAGCAGCAAGAACTCGTGACTTGTGAGAAGCAGACGAAGAAAGCTTTCAATCACATGCCCCGAAGCAACCACAGACTGCCAGCTACATGCACACAGCTTTGCGCCAGCACGAAAGTGGACTGGTCAGGGCCGATGCTTGAGGATCGCAGGAGTCCAAGACTCCTGCGTCATCCTGGTCGGATGCTGCAGGGACGCGCATACTCGTCAATCCTCTTTTGGATGTTGTCGCGACGTCAGGCACTGCATGATCCCAAAGCTATCCTTTGACGATCGATAGGTCTAGGTCTTTCATGGTCCTTCCTTGCAGCCATCCTCTTTGAGATGCATGAAGCGAGAGGAAAAGAGCCGCCTGCTTGCCGGATGGGCACTATTTGTCTTGCATGAGCTGCTGGTCTCATGCTCCTTCAGCACCCGAAGAGGCTTCTTGCTTCTGGCATCATCTTCATGTTCCGTTCCGGTGGATGTCATATTCTTTTTCAAGCCGCCAGAGCTATACTGCGGTGTTGGGCAATTTTCTGGGCCACGGTTTTCCCGCCACATACCTATGTCCAGAGATCCCTGTGCGCTTTAAGCCTATACACAGCTGCTTTCTGCTGTCACGGTAGCCTTGACTGCACGCGCATTTTCTCCAGGTTCGGCTATCCGCATCTAAACGACAGCTTGTCCTAATCTAGAGTGTGATGCAGGCCTATTTCTTCTTAGGCAAGCTGTTTCGGACTTCCGAGTTGGAGTGATCCCGTCCCTCGAAAGACCTTTTGAAACGGCTTCAGGTAAAAGGTTTGGAGTCGGAAGAGAGCTATGGCCCCGTTTAGGGTTTAGGGTTTAGGGTTTAGGGTTTAGGGCTAGCCTTAGCAACTCAGGAGTAGAATTAGGGCCACGTTGTCGAAACTCCTATCTGCAGCTTTCCGGCTTCTGGTTTCAACTTGTTGTGTTTAGGGTTTAAGGGCAGTTGCAGTTCGTGACTTCCAGTCAGCAAGATGGCCATGTGGAGAAAATTAGGGCTACTTCATTTTGGGGTCCTCATAATAAGGAGTCAACTGTTCAGGGTACAAAATTAGGGAGCATGTTGGTGAGCCTGCTAGAGTCACTATCACTCTTCCCGCCAGCGCTCGGCTGGAACGGCCAGGGTAACTTCTGCGACCATCCCTCGCCAAGTAACCTTCACTGACACGCACAATTCCAATTCGTACGGCTAGACTCTCCCAGAGATCCTTGAGGAGGACATACCGTTAGCGGATGTCAGTGAGCCCTCAAGGGGCGACTACGAGAAGGGTGATATACACCTAATTTTGTGACCGTCCAGAAACACCGATACACCTTTCAACTGCCACGCACCCCCCAGGACGGCTTTCAACGGCAAGCTCGCCGAGGACTTGGATGGTTCCTTGAATGGCTCGGCGGCGCGGCCTACTACACCGGCGCAAACTGACTGCCCCCTGGCTATCGCCCGCTTCTCTTGTCGACATGACTTTGGCACAACCTAGATTTCATGTTGTACTTGGAGGTTCATGGGTAGTTATAAGTGGGGTTAGAAGCCCCCTAATATGGTTTATTATTGTAGTTACCCTACTTATAACCCTGCTTATAACTACCCGTGAACCTCCAAGTAGCAGACTCTTTCTTGTCGACAAGGGGACCGGGCCATAGGCAGCGAGGAGTTTGATGGGCGAGCATCTTCGAACTGGCATTTCTGCCTGCACGAAGAGCTGCCTTTTGTAAAGGCGCAAGAAAGACCGAGTGGTTCCCGGCACGAGTGCTTTTCGTAGCCCAAGAATCATTTTCAGCATCCTCCTGCAACCGTGTGCAGCAGTGCCGTATTGCTTCTTCTGTCAAGCCCATCTTCCGAACTGGTTCTTCTCTCACACGGAGAAGGGGCCATTTGCAAAGGCGCGAGAGTGAAGCACCCGGCTAGCCTCAGCGCAACCGGGCTTCGTGGCGGGACTTGGGCGATAGGCAGCGAGGAGTTGAATGCGCGAGCGTCTTCGAACTGGCATTGGTTCCTGCACGCAGATCTGCCTTTTGCAAAGGCACAAGAAGGATGGAGTGGTTCCCGGCACGAGTGGGCTTGTCGCTTTTCTCACCTTAAGCCCCAAACCCAAACCTTTGGAGCTTGCATACACCACCTCTGTCCAACTATAGCCGAGCATGATACGATATTATTTTCCGCTTTGCATGGTTTTCGGTACAACAATCCTAATCCGTGCGTGCATGGTGAATATATTTGGTTATGCACTTTTCACTTTCTATGTTTGTATGTAGGCATGTATGTATGTATGTATGGTTACTTGTGTACATTAGTTTCATTAATTTGTAATGATATGGTATGAATGTACGTATGTAGGTATACGTGTGTATGTTTATGCTACGTATACACCCTGATCAGGCAGCCATATATAGAAACCAGGATGGCACTGGATTTCGATTTTAATTGTCAATTAAAATCGAGTTTAATATCCGCCCGGAGGGCGGGCCGTGTCGGCCAGGGACATCAATTAACATCGATTTTAATACCTTCCAGGGTGACCTGACCAGGCACACGGGTGTATTTAAATCGATTTTAATGCATATGGACGGCCACTCCGCCCGGTAGGTATTAAAATCGATTTTAATACTTTTTGCTTGGAGGACGGTTTCCAGAGCGGGTCAGGGTTTCGGGAAGAGTTCAGGTTGAGGTCCTCGGGTTTCACAGAGCTGTGGGTTCAGGTCTACGGGCTTTGAGGCTCTCTGAGGGTAGACGGTCTAGGGTTTAAGGTTTAGGGTTGAGGTCTGTGGGGGTAAGGGTGGGTGTCGGTTTCAGGTTGTCGGGCTTCACAGGGCTCCTTGTTGGGTTTAGGGCGCAGGGCTTTGGGGTCTTAGGGCTTTGGGGTCTTTCGGCTTTGCAGGACTCATGAGGGTACTGTAGAGCGTCGAGGGCTTAAGGTCTAGGGGTGAGGTCCGCGGAGCTCGGTCCTTGGGTTTCAGGTTCACGGCTTTGGGTTCAGGTCTTTCGGGTTTGCAGCACTCTCACGGTAGACAGTTTAGGGTTTAGGGTTTGTGTTCAAAACACAAAACTGCCAAGCCAGAAGACTGCAGATTTGCCAAAGATCTGACCATTCTTGCAGGGTTTCTTGGGCCTTTTCGAGGCCCCGAATTGAGTTCTGAAGGAACTACCTTCACAAACCCTGAACCTACTCGGGTTTAGGGTTTAGGGGTTGGGGTTTAGGGGTTGGGGTTTAGGCTTAGAATTTAGGGTTTAGGGTTTAGGGTTTAGGGTTAAGGGTTAAGGGTTAAAGGCTAAGGGTCAAGGGTTAAGGGTTTTTTCCCTCTCGAGGGTTTAGGGTTTCGGGTTACATTGGGGCTACAGGTAAACCCTCAAAGCCCCAAATCCCCAAGCCCTGAAGATTTACTTGGGGGTTCATGGGACTTAGTAAGTACAGTTATAAGTACCTTAACTGGGGTTACAACCAATTTTAAGTCTAGTTACCTTATTTATAACCATAGTTACTAAGTCCCATGAACCTCCAAGTATAGCACCTGGGTACGAAAGCCTAGATCACGAAACCGTAGGGTTGCTATCGCCCCCTTAATGCTTTAAACGGTCCCAAGTCCTGTCATCCAGGTGTACAAATGTGTCCATATCAATTAATATCGATTTTAATACCCTGTGCAGGGGTCACAATAGCCAAATCAATTAAAATCGATTCCAGGTGTTGTCACGAGGCGGACCAATTAAAATCGATTTTAATACCCTGTGCAGGGGTCCCAATAGCCAAATCAATTAAAATCGATTCCAAGTGTTGTCACGAGGCGGACCAATTAAAATCGATTTTAATACCCTGCGCAGGGGTCCCAATAGCCAGATCAATTAAAATCGATTCCAAGTGTTTCCGAACTCAGAACCTCTGGACCAGGGTATTAAAATTGATTTCAAGTCATTGGCAAGAGAAAAATTGAGAAGGTATTAACACCGATTTTAATTGTTTCTCGAAGCTAATCCCTAAAACCCGCAATGAAGTATTAGAATCGGTTTCAAAACATAATTGAAATTGAAATCCAGACTTATTTATAGAAGCCATAACGAGGAAGCCTAAAAATGTAGGGTTTTTAGGCTACAGGTAGGGTCTAGGGAGGTCATCTCGGGGGGGCTATGAGCCCTTGGGTACGGTTTAGGCTTAAGGGGTTTAGGGTTCAGTGCGCGGCTAGACATCTGCACCTATGCCCGAGCCCTGAAATCCGTAAACCGTGGCCCCCGTGAACCCTTGGCGCTTCCAAAGGCTAACAAAGCGCAGGTAGTTGCTGGACGGGCCGTGCAGATCTTATAGTGCCGAAAGGAATCCGAGAAAGGAACCCTCAACGATAAACGGTTTTTCGTACTTGTTATCGACGTTGCAGATTTTGAGTACTGTTGCTTGACTGACGCGCTCTCTCAAGCTCCGGCTTCATGAAGTAGGGTTCAACCTTTAGGGTTCCTGACTTTCCGTCGGCGTGACGGCATGTGGTGCTCGGTAACGAGCCTGCTGTCGGTGTCGCTCCTTCACCCAGCACTGGGCTGCAACGGCAAGGGTGAATTTTGCGACCTTCCCTTCACCAAGTACACCTTCGCTGGGTCGCACAATGCCAATGCATACGATTTGACGCTCCCAGACATCATTAGGGAGGACATACCGCTAGTGGATGTCAACGAAGTTTTGAGAGGCTACTATGAGAATCATGACTTGGACCTCACGCAGCAGCTAAACTTCGGCATTCGCGCCTTCATGGTGGATCTTTGCGACAATGCAGACACACCAGGTTCTGGTCCTTTCTTGAACTGCCATGGACCAAACGGCCAAGCAGCTTTTCGAGGCAAGTTCGAAGATGACCTGGACTCTGTCGCTGAGTGGTTAAGTCTACACCCGCGTGAGCTGATCGTTCTCTCACCTGACAACATTCCTTACCGCGGAGGGACTCGCTGGGAAGCTCTTTTTAAAGCTAAGTTCGGCGGGCTTGGCACAGGCACGTCCTGCGCGGAGATTGATGGGACGACGGATGTATCGTCCTGGTCTGCACGCTCCCAGGTGCCTAGGAAGGTCTTGGATTGATGTGGATGGTTGTCAAAATTATGGTTCCCTTTTTCGGCACCCTAAATATTAGGTGCCGTGCTATATTAAGGACCCAAAAAGGAAGCCTAATTTTGACAACCACCCATGTGTATCATATTCCTGTGCTAGAGTCTAGAGACTGCACTGTATCCCGAAGGTGTCGTGTGCTTTGATGACAGCCGTCCCCAACGACAACATCACGATGGGTGCACTGGTGGATCTCAACCTGCGGGTGGTGGTCTGGCCGGAGGGCTGGAGGCAAGTGTTCTACAGCACCTATGATGGAAACGTTCAACCCGGAGCGACGGTTGAGAGTCTCCTCGAAGACTTTACAAAATATGCAGAAGGACAGAAGGTGGGATTCCTTGGTCGCGGCATCGGGACCGGATATCTTTTCCAGGTCTTAGCATCTGCCAAGTTTCCCGATTTCAGCATGTGGAACTCATGTGCCGACCCAATTTGCAAGACACTTGCAGCCAAGCAACTCAAGGATGACTTAGCAATCAAGAGCGTCAAGAGTATGTCTACCGGACTCAATGCGGGTCTGCTGCAGGACGACGCTAGGCCGCCCTTGAGAAGAACTTGTCTTTTGAATTGTGGCATTCCTTCAGGTATATCTGTTACCATTATCAGATTGTCCAAATATTAGTATTTTCAATGCAAATAAACTATCTATCAAGAAGGCACAAAAAATTATCGGTTTAAATGTTAAATGTGTCTCTAAGAACCACCCAGGACACATCCCCGCATGAGTATCAGTCGGAGGAGGAATGCCCAGAGTATGCTTGCGGATGTCTAGGGTACCGGTCGCCTCTCGAAGTAGTCCACCAGAAGCTTCTTGAAAACGGTGATGCGATCCAGGCAGTATTCGTAGATTATCCCGAGGTGGGGGAGAAGAGCAACGTTGTCCATGCCGCCGCGAGAATGAATGAAGCCAACCTTCGGCACTTGCGTGGTGAGGACGAGCCTGGTGCCGAGTGGTGGTCTTGCCACTGGCAGCCAGTCGTAGCAATTTCAACACCTTCACTGCTCTTCATCCTTTGCGCGCTCTACGTCTTTTTGATGTGTCGCTATCCGGACCGCTGGGGTGTGTGTATATGGAATCAGTGGAAAGCTTACAAGGCCCGGGTGGCGGCCAGGAAGGAGGGAGAAGAAAGAGGCCGGGAGGAAGCCCGTGCTTACTTATATGGGGAAGCTCAAGGTGTTGGCAACATGGATGCTTAGTTCTCCAATTCCGGATCTTTGATCATTTTTTGGGTTCTTTTAGTTTAAAAGCTCTCATGTTTAACTTGCATTTTTGTGGGTTGTTGATTGTTGGGGAAGTAAGGATATGTCAATGCCTCAGCAGATTCCACCCGGGATCGCACCCAGTGCTGGAAATCCCCAGGCCAGCTATGCATATTCTCAATATCCAGTACACGTTGCTGGAAATCCACAGGCCAACTATTCATATCCGGCATATCCTCAGTATCCCCAACAGCCTCAAGGCAAGTTCCAGAAGTTTGCGGACACGGAGTGATTCCATCTTCGACTTCGGCACTCAATCAGATTGTGTGCGAGTGTGCTCTTTGCGGCCATAGGCCGCCTCACCCCCATAAACCCTGAACCATCCTAAAAAAGCCCCAACCCAGAAGAAATGAACCATGCTAAACCCTAAAAGCCCGAACCCCTGGAACATACCTTTGGCAATTTGGTTAGTAGGGAATGGGAGAATGGTAGTAATAGTAGTGATTGTTTACCCCATTCCTCCATTCCCTACGAACCAAAGGTAAGTGAACCCTCAAATCCCCAACCCCGAACCCCTAAACCCTAACCATAAACCCTAAACCCTAAAAACCCTAAACACTAAACCCTAAATCCCTAATCGAGAAGTGTACCAAGTGTCAAAAGCCTAAAAACCCTAAATCCCTAAACCCCTAAATCCCTAAATCTCTAAACCCCTAAATCCCTAAACCCCTAAATCCCTAAATCACTAAACCCTTAAATCCCTAAACCCCTAAATCCCTAAAACCGTAAACCCCTAAATCCCTAAAACCCTAAACCCCTAAACCCTCTTGAAGCTCAGTGCCCGGAACCACAGCTCCGGGAGGCGCCTCCGTTGCGGCGGAGCAGTGCAAGACCGGACCGAGCATCTTTCGACTTTCCCAAAGGGGTCCTACTTGCTGTGATGGGGGATACTTACCCAACTCATTAGAGTTTCGGGTTTAGGGGGGTAGGCTCAGTTCCTGGCATATGCGTAGTCCAGGTGTAAAAGGGGGGTAGGATCTAGGGGTTTGGGGTTTAGGGGTCGTACTTACTGTTATGATAATGGGGGATACTTACCCAACTCATAAGAGTAATTCCTAAGACAGATGACTTACCGAACTCATCATGGTAATTTCTAACATAGA